TGTGCCACATATCATTGTATATGAGAGAATCTCCTCATATGACATATGATACCTATTAACCTTATATAAGAGAAAAAATTCCTAAAGGATCCAAAATATTGGACCAATAGGGGGGGCAAGTGAGGTGTCCCCCTCCTATTGGATAACGAGTTGGCCATCATTAATGATGGCCAACTCATTATCTAATAGGAGGGGGGCACCTCACTTGTCCTCTTATTGGTTCCATATTTTGGGTCCCTGTAACAAAGCTCCATATAAGAGAGCCATGTTTGCTGAGTAATAACTTCTGAAGAATGCTTCGTCATATGAGTTTTTGTTTGTAAATAAAACTTGTTTGCTGATACTTCTAAACTTGGATACATTATGTTTAGTGTTGTAGGTGGAGATAGAGGTGGGACAAGCCTGCTCTTAGTTTTTTTTGTAAATATACCTGTAAACAGCTTGACATAGGAGGATTGGCTCACTCTCGATTCAAGTTTCAAATAACTTCAAAGGACCTCTCTTTGATTGTGGTTAGAGTGAGCTCCCCTCCTAAGTCATATTGGCAATGTTCTTAACCAGCTTCTTCTAATATATACATCTTCTGAATAGGGCTTTTGCCTTTTTTTTGTGTCCAGAGAGAGAGAGAGAGAGAGAGAGAGAGAGAGAGAGAGAGAGAGAGAGAGAGAGAGAGAGAGAGAGAGAGAGAGATGTTTTTCCAATGAAACAGATAGTGCGTATGTTTGAGCCATGTTTTTTCCAATGAAACAGATAGTGCATATGTTTTAAATTGCAGCAATAGAAAGACTGTTTATAAAAAACGAAACTAAAATGATCATTTTACATAAAAGTCCAGTTGAAAAAGCTAATACTGTACTGAATGCCAACTATTAAATCGTCAATCATAGTTACGACATGATCTAGTAGAAAGTATCGAATGGTTCCGGATTCATGATATTAAGTAAGGATCAAAAAGATGTTAACTCTTGGAACATTAGATTTTAAAATTTATGAATAGATTCAATGATTCACAATATTCCTTTGATGCACATTTAAGTCATGAATTAGGTCCACTAGGTACTTCATTATTCATAATCTAGAGAGTTTTAAATCATCCCCTTATTACATCCAATATCATTCCTCAAAAAGTATGCTCATTAGTGAATCATAGCTATTTTTTGGGTTGTGATAAATGTCATTTAAGAAGACTGGTATACTATGTAGCCTCTAGTTGAGCGAGCTCACTTTCTATCAGAACACCCCACCATGTGGGGTGCTCTAAGCCATTAGGAGGCAGTGAAATATCCATATTGCCCCATGTTTGGCGCATCCACGCCTCAAAACCTTCCGCACTGTGTGGGAGGTTCTAAGAGGATGTATACTCCTAGTTGAGCTAT